ATAAAATAGATGTTTAAAAGGGAACAAGAAAGGTCACTTGATCAATGGTGAAGAAGAAATTCCAGTTCAAGTCTGAATTCCAAAGGCCCTGTATTTCAACATCATCCAAAGAGCCACACCAGCCTCCCCAGGAGAACAGCAACTCTCTATACTTCCAAGATAAATATTGAGGGCTGGAGAGATGGCTCAGTGGTTAAGAGCATTGCCTGCTCTTCCAAAGGTCCTGAGTTCAGTTCAATTCCCAGCAACCACATGGTGGCTCACAACCATCTGTAATGAGGTCTGGTGCCCTCGTCTAGCCTGCAGGATTACATACAGACAGAATATTTTACATATAATAAATAAATATTTTTTAAAAAAGATAAATCTTGACTGGGACTCTTATTGATCTGATGTACGTTACGTGTCATTCTGAGCTAATCACTGTGGTCAGTGTACCAGGGGACATTGATTAGCCAGGACTGGTCACATACTCAACTGGGAATCTTGAGGGTGCGCCATTTTCTCCTAAACGGCAGGACTTGACAGTGGCACTGCCAACATGTCCACAGAGCCAAGGTTTAGGGAGCATGCGCAAGGCTCTGGATTCAGTACTCTGGACAACACACCAGGGCAAGCGGGGGGCAGTTACCCAGAAAGATTTGGGACGTGAAGGGGAAATACCAATCTTCCATAGTAAAGAGTGTGTGTAGGGAGGGGGGCGCCTGTTTAGCATTCCTGGGTGCCAGGTGGCGCTAAGAACCTGTAGGGAGTGCGCTGCATTTGGGCCATGTAGAGTGAGAATTACTACATTAGAAACAAAGGGGTTAGCTCTGACATCCCTACCCACCAATCCACAGCAGATTACTAGAGAATGCGCTGCTCTACGACATAATGTCAGTGATGGAATAATTTATTAATGCATCCAATATGGCTTTTTAAAGTTCAGTCCTGAAAACTATGAGTATGTGTGTGTCTGCATGGGCATGTGCACAAGAGTGCAGGCGCCCACAGACGACGACACCTGACACGCAGGCCTCGGAGCTGGCGTTGCAGCAGTTGTGAGCTGGCTGCCTGGGTGCTAGGAACTGAATCTGGTTCTCTGGAAGAGCAGCACAGCATGCTTTTTTCTGCTGGGTCATCTCTCTTGTCCCTCTTTCTTATTTTAAAAACACTGAGATGGGGTTCACTCTAGTATAGCCCGTCATTGAGCGCTTGTCAATCCTCCTGCCTCACCTTCCTGAGTACAGGCCTGTGCCACCAGGTATGCTCTTGGCTTCCTGATTTTAAGAGCCAATGAAGTCTTTGTGGTTGTTCCTATCAGTTAAGCTTCCATTGTTTTCAGACAAACAGCCTTACCATACATGTGGAAAAAGTGCTCTGTAAATAATTGTCTTTGAGCTTAATTTTTAGTTAAGAGAACTGGGAGGTGGCCGTGTATCTACAGGTGCAGCTGTCCTTTTGTCAGAGCGGTAACAAAGCTGAGGCCGGCCCTGGTTGTTTAGCGGTAGACAGTGAAGGGGCCAGTGCGATGGCTCATTGGACAAAGGTCCTTGCTGCCAAGCCTGATGATCTGAGCTCCGTCTCTGGAACCCACATAGAAAAAGGAGAGAATCCACTCCCCCAAATTGTTCTTAACCTTCCCATGTGTACCGTGACATATGCACATACATGTACACACTAAAAAAGTGAAAAAAATAACTCATAAAAATCTAACAATAACCTGGGTTATGCACAATATAGATTGTTAATTTTGTTAGATGTGATAATGGCATTAAAGTCATGAGAACGTCCCTTTAATCCTTAATCTCAACACTCAGGAGGCAGAGGCAGGCAGATCTCAGTGAGTTCGAGGCCAGCCTGGTCTATACAGCAAGTTCCAGAACAGCCAGGACTACATAGTGAGACTCTGTCTCAAACAAACAACAAACCAACCACCACAAGAAAAGAATCCCACACATAAACACAGGGCGAGGTGGTGAACACCATTAATCTTAAGAATTGGGAAGCAGATCACTGTCTACATAGTGTGTTCCAAACCAGCCAGTACATAACAAGGCCCTTCTCAAACAAATAAGCAACGTCCTTTCAAAGGATGCCCAATGAACTTCTTAATGTCATGGTGCACAGCAATAATCCTGGCGACCTTGAAGCAGGATACGTGGTGAATCCAGTCCAGCCTTACACACTACCTCTAAAACACTGGGGGCGGGGAGTAGGAGAGAAACGCACATTCAATTATCTAGGGATAATAGTCAATGTCTAAAACTTACTTTTAAGTAGTTTGGAAGAAAAAACTCAACTTGTTAAAACCAGGCATGACAGAGACATGAGGCGACGTGTGTTTGTGTGTTTTCAGCAAAGGGTTTCTCTATGTGGCTCTGGTTGTCCTTGAACTTGCTCTGCAGACCAGGCTGGCCTCAAACTCTGCCTGCCTCTGCCCCCTCCCCTGGCAGTGCTGGGATTTGTGCGCCACCACTGCTGGGCTCTGTCACTTCTCCCTTCACTGCCAGCAGAAGCCCAAGTCCACCTTCGTTTTAATGTCTTGTTAGAGCAGGGGATGGTGGTGCAGGCCTTCACTTACAAAGTGCCGAGGGGACACACACAAGGTCATCGTCAGTGCACAGTGAGTCTGAAGTCAGCAGGGCACACAGCAGTAGTATTATGCTAGGCAGCCAGACAGCCAGACCCTGATTCAAAGATAAAACACAAAGAGGCCTGAAGCTTCCCTAGCTCGGCAACTTCTGTCTTTAGGGCCGAACCCTAACCAGAAGCTGTTGGTTGAAGTTTGGGGTGTTTACACAGATTTGCTGTTCAGAACAAATATAAGCTGGTGACATGCGCTCACCTATTCACTTACTGTTTGTTTTTATTTTGTTTCAAGACAGGGTCTTACTGTATAGGTCAGACAGGACAAAAACTCACAGACACCCAGCCTGCCTCTGCCCGGCAGTGCACTTGAATCACACTCCTCCCCATTCAACTCTCAGAATTAATCGACAGAGCTAAACAGTCACCATTCTGGGCACATAGTTTATTGCTCAGAACCTCCCGGCACAGCTATTACCGAGGACCTCTGTCAGGGAGGCCTGAAGAACAGGGATGGGAAACAGCCGAGAACAGGCAGGTCTGCCCCTGCCCTTGCACCCAACGCAAACAATGTCTTTGGGTGTCACTGACCCAGGTCCAGCCTGGCCCAGGCTTCCACAGCACCACCCACACCCATCTCTGGAGGAACAGCAACCTCACAGGAATCAACTCCCAAGGGAAACCCCAAATGACAAACAACTGTGTTCATTGACGCTGGGAGAGAAAAGGCGTGGGAACAGATTCTGTGGAAAACCCAAACTGCCACAACCAGTACTCCTACCTGACGTTATTAATCTCTCAGAACACCTAAGCTTTTATTTAAAAAGCAAACGTAGCATATTTATCATCTTTTAAAAAAAAAAACATGTAAACATTCCAAAATTTGGAGGATTATTTATAATCTGAAGAGACTTATAAAAATTATTGGACTTGTTAGGACTATAAATACTAACCCTCCCACCCCCCCCCCAACATGAAAAAAGCAATTGTTACAAAAATATAAAAAATAGTCTAGCTTCTAGTTAACCATTCATTGAGATATCGCAGAATGTATATGCCTAGCAAGCATACACGCTACCTTTTCAACTCTTTAAGGAAAGTTCCAGAACATTTCATTTTGATAAGACCGTGGCTGCTTCCTTCACAGTAATCTCGTGTTAGCAGCTTCAAGCTCTTTTAAAAACTGCACCCCCTGCACAGATCCAGGGTGGAATCACAGCACAGGACCCCACAGCCCTGCGCATCGCTCTCTAGCTCTTTGCGTTCCCCCAGACTCACTGGGTACATGGGCCCCTGAGCTGGTCATGGCTTCCCTCACTTCTCATGAAGAAGGCAGACCGGCTAAGGGATGTTGGGGAGGAAAACCTGGCCTGCTGCTCCCTGTAGCACCTGTCTCCTTGGCATGCACCTGGCTCCACCCAGGTGCGGTATTTAAGGACTAGGCCTGCTTGGTGGCGGCTACTGTGACACGGAGGGATGGCTGATGAGGTGGGACCCTGTCCACAGACGGGGAGGGAGGCAGGAAACTGCTGTAGGAGAAGTTTGCTGACTCAGACTGCACACCCGTTCCTGGCAGCTGGTGTAGCGGGCACTGTCATCAATTACAGTCACAAAATGAGCCAAATTTAGTTTGAAACAGTTAGAAGACCTGCAGGGGCTGCACTTCAGATTTTTAAAAAGATCTACCTGCTCCTAATGTAGGGCTCTTCTCAGCCTTTGCTTATTTCTACTGCCACCAGCAGAGGGCAATCGGTACAAAGGCTCAGACAAGCCCTTGGGAGAAAACTGTCCCTAGGTAACCAAGTGGGATGGATCCTCGCGTCACCAAGATATTTCAGGGCTCTCCCTGGTGTCCCTGCAGCCCGGGAGACCTTTTATACCAAGGTCTCAGCAAAAGCATGCGCAGAGCTCAGGGTGCTGAGTCATCCCGCACCTGCTGCGCGGCTCAGAAGACCCAGCTCAACTTGCAGCCTTTTTTCCCCCACTTCCCCTCAGGACCTCTGACCAAGGTCATGGCCCCTGCCAATGCTGTATTCAGTACAATCTAGCCTGGAATCTGATGTGACCCCGTGCCACTACTGACTTCAGTATTCTGGTCTGTGAGGAGCTGTCTATATCCAGACCAGAATGACAAGTTTTCTCTGGGTGCTTGCCGGACTTGCAGGTTTACTGTTCAAAACGTACGTCTCCACGCTGCTAAGGGATCTCACTGTTGATTTCTGGGCTTCCGGTCCTCACCATGTAAAGTCACACATTCCCAACACCTGCTTGTTTCTGCAGGTAAGAACGCTCTCATTTCAATGTACCCTGGCTGTTCAAAACCCAAAGGAACTTTCCGAACACAAGAAGGATAGGTGATTCAGAGAATCCCAGCCACATCTGCCGGGCAAGGTGACTCTACTTTGGCTGCATTGAAAAAAAACAACAGGGCCTGCGAGACATTGCAAAATCACTGTTTGCTCAAGGCACAAAGAAAGTCTCCTGGGAAACATGATGATGAACCGGGTTGACGGTCTGCATGAGGTCTGTCTGAGGCAGAGTCCAAGAGGAAGGCCTGGGTGGGATCGGGACCGAGACCCTCTGGCACCTGAGGAGTCCTCATGCGTATTTCTCCAGGAACTTGAGGTGAAAATCTTTCACCTTATGGAGCACTGTCTTCAGTTTCTCCACGGGAGGGAGAATTGTCATTCTGTCAGGAAAGAGAGCACCATCAGCCGGGCTGTTCATAGGATGAACAACACTCCTTGCACTGCAGAGTGAAGAGGAGTTCAGGAGGGTGATGAGTTCAGGAGGGTGACGAGGTCGGGAGGGTGACGAGGTCGGGAGGGTGACGAGGTTGGGAGGTCCCCGTGTGGACACAGGGCGCCACCTTGTCTGATTTAGAGAGAGCCTCTCATTTGTGAAACTACTGTCTCCCCTAGGCCTTCTTCCCGATCTCACAAGCTGTCCAGAAGAGCCATGAAGCCCTGAGCCTCAGCAACCCTCTTGCCTCAGCCTCCAGGAAGCTGGGAATAGAGACACATACCTCCACAGTGGCTTGTACACAGACATTTTCACTATGGTGAGACCTGTCTACTAAAGCAACGAACTGGATCAACTCACCAAAATGTATCTTTCATTACTACAAAAGGCCAGCACCATTGTTTTGCTTATTGGGTTTTGTTGTTGTTAAGACTGGGTCTCTGTATGTAGCCCCAGCTGTCCTTAGAACGTGCTATGTAGGCCAGACTGGCTTTGAACTCAGAGATCTACCTGCCTTGGACTCTCCCTTACCCCCCTACTCCCACCTTTTCTTCCTCCTTTATAAAACAAGGTCTCATATGGGACTGGCTGTTCTGGAATTCACCTGCTGCTCAGGCTGGCCTTGAGGTTACAGTAATTCTTCTGCCTCAGCATCTTAAAGTGCATGCACCACCACATCCAGCTAGGGCACCACATTCTGACTAGTATAGAACTTTCTAGAATATGATCCCCCCATTTTTGTGGTGCTAGGGATTGGATTTAGGGTTTCATGGATGCTAGGCAAATGGCCAAACTATTTTCTAATCCTAGAGCATGACTCTTACTCTTTTTTTTTCCTTCTTCAGAAATTAAACATTGACTCTTTGGGTGTGCATATGTGTTCCAGGATCCAGCTTCTGACAGGAAGGCAGCCTCAAATCTCAGCTTTCACTTCACAGACATCTCCAGTTGCCACAATAACACAGCTCTCCCTCTGGCCCCGACAACAGACTTCCCAGCTCATCAACACTTTGGGTGGCACGCGGGGCATGGAACCCGGGACTCACACTCGTCGCATGATCGACCACCGAGCTACACCGCAATCTCAGCTCTACAGTTCCGGTGGATCTTAAACCACAGCAGAGACCCTGACCAAAGGTAAAAGGGTCAGGTAGGCAGTGTGTCCCTCTTAGGGCACAACCCGTGTCCTCTGACTTAGCAAAGACTTGGCTCCAGATGCCAGCCACTCATGACATTTCTTTTTTTAGCATCTGCTAGAAGATACACAGCCACAGAAGCGGTGGAGAAATGATCGGATTCTGAATGGAGCTGGCCTTGGGGAGGAACCCTTGCCGAACAGCTCTGGGAATCCGTGTTCATGTCTATCCAGGGCTGGACCAGGCATGGCTGTGAACAGCCTCTCAGAATGTGGAGCTACCTCTGTGTCAGCGTGGAGCCTTGGCAGCCTTTGGGGCCTAGGGTAGTGCCACGGCCATAGTGCAGCCAAGGGGCTATAGAGCACCTGCCCTGCGCCAGGCTGTCCTGGTTGCTTTTTCTGCCAACTTGACACAAGCTAGTGTTATCTGGGAAGAACTTCACTTGAGAAAATAACTATCAGACTGGCCTGATGATTGATGTGGAAGGGCCCAGCCAGGCACGGGCAGTGCCATCCCCGGGCAGACATCCTGGATTATATAAGAAAGCAGGATGAATGAACCGTGGAAAGCAAGCTAGTGAGCAGGGCTCCTCTGTGGTCGTGGTTTCAGGTCCTGCCTCCAGGGTCCAGCACTGGCTCCCCCTGACCGTGGACTGTAACCTGTACACCAAATAAACACCTTCCTCCCCGAGTTGCTTTTCATCATGGGGCTGACAATAGTAACAGAAACCTAACTAACGCATAGGCTTTGCCCCGCGCACCCAGAAGCAAGGAGGGTGACAGAGACAGGAGGCGGCAGAGAGAACAACCCAGGAACACTCAGGAGACGGCTGTGCAGTGTACCCATTTTCCTTCTCTCTGACAGGGTCTCAGCTTGCCATGGTGGAATTGCTCAAGGAGAACAGAGGCTCAGACCCCTCAGTCTCTAAAGCAGGAACCCAAGTTGCCCTGGACAAGCCAGGGACCAACACCGCCTGCCTCCACAGAAGATATTTTACCTGAAGTGGTAGGTGCCTTCTCGCTGCCCAAAGCCACTGCCAGGCACGACACAGATGCCGGTCTCCTCCAGGAGCTTCATGCAGTAAAACATGTCTGGGGCCATCTTATGGGCCTGCGGGAGGAGGACAGAACTTGAGATTCATGTCTGGCTCTACACTAGACCCGCACACATTAAAACCAAAACCAGAGCCAGAGCTGGTTTTGGTTCACACCTATAATCCCAGCACTTGAGAATCTTCAACAAGAATGGCTTGAATTCAGCGCCAAAGTGAGCTACATAGTGCGGTCCCACCTGGGCAATCAAGACCCCATGAGGTGGTGATCAAAGCCAGATAGAACCAGAATGCGGAATGCCAGGCCCCCTTTTCTGTGCCTGAGCCCTTCCTTCCCCCGGTCCTGCCTGCAAAATAAAGCAGGATATCAGGTCACGGTCAAGAAGATGGTTCTGGGGCCCAGACATTCGAGGACACACGGTAAACTGCATCTGTCCAAGAGGCCCACAGAGTTCAGAACCCCTAAGGCCAGCAGCGCTGCTCACCAAAGCAAACGCCAACCATGACCCAGACAGCTCAAGCGAAGCCAGGAAGACAGCCGACCCTCCACTGACCTGAGCCGCCTCCACAGCCTTGGCAGGAATGAGGATCCGGGGAAAAGCATACATAGCTCCTTGCAAGGGGTTGCACTGAATCCCTGGGACTTGGTTAAACAGATCTTCTGTCAGCTTCGCTTTCTCGGCCAGATTACCAAGAACGAATTCTTTTTCCTGACGATGGACAGAAAGCACAAGTATCAATAACCCTAGGTAAGGCTATGGAAGGCTGTACTTTCAACACATAGGTAATAGAACACATTGACAGAAATGAGCTGTGTATGCATAGCACAGTAAATAGGGCAAGGGGAAGGGGTGGATAGGAACAGATAGACAGGGCTTTCTGCAGGGATTTTTTTTCTTTCTTTTCTTTTCTTTCTTTTTTTTATTTTTTTTTATTTTTCAAGACAAGGTTTCTCTGTAGCTTTGGAGCCTGTCCTAGAACTAGCTCTTGTAGACCAGGCTGGCCTCAAACTCAGAGATCCACCTGCCTCTGCTTCCTGAGTGCTGAGATTAAAGTTGTGCGCTACCATTGCCCGGCTGGGATTTTTTTTCCTTTTTTTCTTTCTTTCTTTCCTTTTTTTCTTTCTTCCTTTCTTTGTTCTTAAAAGATTTATTTATTTATTTATTATGTATAGTTGTCTGCATGTACACCTGCAGGTCAGAAGAGGGTGCCAGATCTCATTACAGATGGTTGCGGTTTCTGGGTATTGAACTCAGGACCTCTGGAAGAGCAGCCAGTGCTCTTAACTGTTGAGTCATCTCTCCAGTTCCCAGGCATTTTTTTTTCATTCATCAATCTAAATGGACCTGACTCTGGAAGGAATATCCTAGAAACACATCTATGAGAGTCATGGGTCCTCCTGGAGACCAGCCCAGTCCCATCATGTCATCCAGGGACTACCCCTTTGCAGTCTCTGTCAGTGTGGTGTACACGGACACAGACCCAGAGAGAAGAGAGTCAGCAGAGCTGGAAAAGCGTCCACAGCCGGAATAGAATCAATCGGACTTTCGGCAAGTACTACTGTGCCAAAGGTAGGTCCTGAAGATGGGTGGATAAAACAAAAGGGGGCACAGCCATGCAACGACATACGACCCAGTCCTCAACCCCAAAGAGACTTCTGCTCTTCCGAGACACTGCACCAAGTGGAATAAGCCAGGCACAGAGGAGCAAACATTGTATAATTCCACCTCTGCATATACGTGTTCGGGGGACTCATGGAGACCTAGTAGAACGATGGCTTCCAGGAAGCTATGCATTTACTGGATCTGAAATTTCAGCTGGGGATGATGGAAGAGTTCTTGAGATGGAAGGGAGAGATGGCTGCACACAATCTGAATGTCTTTCCATAATGAAGCTAACTGTTTGTTTAGACGGGGTCTCACTGTGGCTCTGACTGTCCTGGAACTCACTATGTAGACCAGGCTGGCCTCAAACTCACAGAGGCCCTTCTGCTTCTGTTTCCTGAGTGCTGGGATTAAAGGCATTCACTACAGTAGTCTAGAACCATGTATTTTAAAAGAGCAAAGGTTTAGTTATTTGTATTTTACTGTAAGAAAGAGAAAAGGTGAAGGGGGAAGGAGTGTGTGGTAGTGTATGCCTGGAATCCTAGCCTTTAAGAGGTTGAAGCAGTAGGATCATGAACTCAAAAACAGGGCTATTAAACCCTCCAGTGTGTGTGTGCGTGAGAGAGAGAGAGAGAAAGAGAGAGAGAGAGAGAGAGAGAGAGAGATGAATTTATACCGTCTGGGAACTGACTTTTAGACTGTACAATCTAAAATGGTTTTATTGTTGCTTTTTAAACCAATACTCTGTGCCTATCTACTTCCCCTTCTTTTCAGGTTAGTAACAAAAATGTCTGCCAGACACGGGGGCTCTCCTGGGATCCTCCCCACTTACAATGCACACAGGCGAGAAAGAAGAGAACATTCTTCCCACTTCTAAACACACTCCGTTGCACTTTTGGACTTAACTCATGAGAGTGGTTCAGCCACCACGAGGCATCATGGTTGACCCTTGAAGGATGGATACAGACGGACACCCACAGACACACCAACAAATGTGGCTGGTCAGGAGCCGTGACCCTGACAACAGCAGTGACGCAGCTGGGTCACGAGGACTCACCCTGATGAACTGTTCGAAGGATTCCTCGCCTGGGACAGGGGGATTCACGACGATGTCCATGGCGGCTTGTCCAGACACTGGCGGGCAGAGGCGAACCGACAGTAGCTTTACCAGCTGCCCTTTGATCTCAGGGTGCAAATTAATCACCTCCATGTAGCCCCCTCGGTAGCCGCACCTGCAGAATCGGCGAGAGGGAGCACCAGTTACAGGAAGGCAGATTCTGTACCGCCACACCCTGAGTACCAGGCAGGCAGCTGAGGCTGAGCTCTTGCCAGGGGTAGGGAAACAGGTATTGGGATTAGGTCACTTTCCTACAAAGAAAAGCTAGTGCTCGCCTTCCTTTCTTCCCTTCCTGTTTCCGGGGAGCCGGAGACAGAGACTACAGACAGCCCTCACCCTAAAGATGGAGACCACGTGTTGAGGAAGCAGACTCGCAAGCCACGGTCCTCGAATGACCCCGAGGAGCACAGCCTTGTTTTCCTGGATTCTTTGAAGCATTATGTCAAAAATAGATAGATTTTCACCCTTTTGGAGCCTCTATATTTTAGGGCCATTTTTTTAAAATATTTATTTATTTATTATGTATACAATATTCTGTTTGTGTGCATGTCTGTAGGCCAGAAGAGGGCACCAGACCTCTTTACAGATGGTTGTGAGCCACCATGTGGTTGCCGGGAATTGAACTCAGGACCTTTGGAAGAGCAGGCAATGCTCTTAACCACTGAGCCATCTCTCCAGCCCCGGGCCATTTTGTTATAGCTGCTTACCCTGAAACCTAATCCACATACTAGTCTACATCAAATTAAGTCAAGAACAATCTAAGGAGACGGTTGCCTTGACCAAGGCAAAATATTCCTTCAGACTTCATATGCCATTCCCTCTGCCCAGGACGTTCTTCCTCCAAATGTCTCCCTTCCTGCAACTCCAGTCCCAGCTTCCGGCATGTCTACCTCCTCTGGGACCTCAGCTCTCCACCTGCCACGTGACTTTCCTCTTTGCTCTTCACTCTTCAATAACATATTGGCCATATATGTTACATGTATGCTACACTGATACATGTACGTTACATGTATGTTACAGTGCTACAAACTCGGGGTGCTCGGTGAATCCTAGTCAAATAAATAAAGATGGACCCCAGACTGGTCCTTCAGCCTTACAATCCTACGCTAAGGCAGCCTTGGACGTGGAGCTTGGTACCTGTCCACCCAGCTCCTCTCTTCATGGGCCCTCAGACTTCAGTCAGGGTCAGAGCAGAAGATCCCAGGCTCAGAGCTGCTATGGGAAACTGTATTCATTTCTGTCCCTTACCCAGAGTCTGGTCTGAGCACGGCTGCAGGTCACTTGAGCCCCTGCTCTTACACCACTAGATCTGCCAGGGGGGTGCGGCCTGTCCGTCTCCTGACTCTCAGAGCTGCAGCCAAGGATAGGGGCTGCTTTCCAACCCGTGGGCCACAGGGTCAGGCAGAAAGGAGGGAGCAGAGCGGGGACAACAGGCTCGCCAGCAGCGGCAGAGGAGGGGAGGCCGACATACTCGCCCATGTAGCCCTTGGAGGTGGAGTAGAAGGACGCGAGCTCCACGTTGCTGGAGTACTCGTGCCCCATCTGGTAAAGCACTTTCTTAAAGGAGTGGAAGCGGCAGTCGGGAGAGTACACGTTGTCCTGATATACCTGCAGCGGGAACATGACAGGGCAGTGAGTTCTCCTGGAAGGCCTGGACAAACGCAGGCTGTGGCTGAGAGCAGCCAAGGGTCCACACCCAAGAGGGGTGCACAGGCACCGCGTGAACCTGTCGGTCAGAGGTAGGTCACAAAGTCCAGCCTTGAACAAACCAACCAGCCCAGCTTCCAAGGCTAATTCCACAGATAAGCCAGAATGTACCTGAAGGAACCTTCCAGACCAAGCAAGGGAAAAGCCTCAGGCTGGATGCTTCCCTGACATTCCTTACGCTTCCCATACCCAATCTCCAGCCTGCCTGTTTGACACATCAGGTCAGCGATGGCACTGGGTACTCCCAGCCTCCCACACAGATTCTTCTTCTAAAGCACTGTTCACTTGTCTAGTGACGCAAAGTGCCAGCCATCTCCTGTCCTCCGCTTTCTCTGTTGTAGGGGTACACTCCGTCAGGTGTGCTTTATGCCACTTACCAGGTTTGGAACCATTTGTCTTCGCCTCTGCTCTTTCTGCCAGAGCAGGGCCCACGCGCTTCATTCTCCCCTGTGTCTAGATCTGGCACTCAAGGCCTACAAGTACCACCCTGCCGGTTCCATAGCCAGGGAAACTGACTTTCGGGACCAGTGGGAAAATCAGGCAAGCTTCCACCTCAACGGCGGAGGACCTACCCTCCTCCCAGACCAGTGGGATGGTTAGTACATTGTCCTAATCCCGAGGTCTCTCTGTTGCCTTTTTTTTTCCTTTTAGAAATTAAGGCTTTTAGATCCGTAGTTAATTATGACTATTTAAATGTGGTAATATTGCGGGGTGCTCATGGAGGAGAGAAAATAGTAGCTCGAAACTACAGCTAACCAGAAAACATGCACCAACAAAGATAAACTGACAACGGAACATGGTGGGTCCTCGGTTTCCTTCTTCCCGAGAAGACAAAGAATGGGCGAGCCTAGGAGTCATAACTGGGGTTCAAGAAATTACAGTTACAGACCCGAGGTCCTCACAGGCTCACCAGCGGTTGGAGAGTAAACGAGACAGAAGGTGAGAACTACCAAGAGAGCTCAGAACTGTACACTGGGCCGGGCGGTGGTGGCGCACGCCTTTAATCCCAGCACTCGGGAGGCAGAGGCAGGCGGATCTCTGTGAGTTCGAGACCAACCTGGTCTACAGAGCTAGTTCCAGGACAGGAAACAAAAGCTACGGAGAAACCCTGTCTTAAAAAAACCAAAAAAAAAAAAAAAAAGAAAGAAAAAGAAAAAGAACTGTACACTGGGAGTGGCATCGGCCATCTCTGCCGCAGGGCAGCTACAGCCGGCTCTTAGGTAGGAGCCCATGGAGTTCCCTCCGGGAAGGTCCTCCCTGGCTTTCCGGGTGGACGTTGGGGAAGAAGAGGGTAGACATCCTGCACCTTGCCTAGGTCTGGCCAATCTGCATATTACAACCCCAGGCAACAGTGATTGCTTTAATAATCGTAGCTCAAGTTGAATCTATCAGGCGTAAACTTACTGGAACCACAAGGATCAAAGCTAGACTGGAAAGATATGGGGCTGACACACAGAGATGAAAGAAGGATTCGGAAGACATAATTTGAGTCCAGGATCTAGCCTGTGACCTGTGACCCCCATCATCATCATCATCATCCTCCAAGTTGAAAGCAACTTTAAAGCTGACAACTTTAAAGCTCTCAGCACTGGGAGACTGAAACACCAGGGTTGCTGTGAGTTTAAAGCCAGCCAGGGCTACACAGTAAGTTCTAGGGTAGCCTGAGTTACATAGCAGTTTCAGTCTCCCTCTCCCCATCTCCGTATACATGGAGAACTGTGTGTGTGTGTGTGTGTGTGTGTGTACACTATAGCTGGAGTCCAAGTCAACAGAGAGATAATTCGTTGTCCAAATTCATAGGTTAAGAATGTACATCCTCAGCCGGGCGGTGGTGGCGCACGCCTTTAATCCCAGCACTTGGGAGGCAGAGGCAGGCGGATCTCTGTGAGTTCGAGACCAGCCTGGTCTACAGAGCTAGTTCCAGGACAGGCTCCAAAGCCACAGCGAAACCCTGTCTCGAAAATCAAAAAAAAAAAAAAAACAAGAATGTACATCCTCATCTTTGCTTGCCAGAATCATTCTGCCTAGAAACTTCTCTCTGGCTATAGAATGATTAGATCTGAATCCCTCCCCTAGAAGAGCAGGCTCGCCCCCTCCCTCTCTGAGCTTGCCCCACCATCTCTGGGACTGCTCTTACCTCATCAGCCAGTAGGAAAAGCTTCTCTTCCCAGGCAAAGTGAATCACATCTTCTATGCACTTTCTGCTTTGTACCTGGCCTACAAAATCCCCAAAAAAACCAAAATGTAGGTTGTATTGCTACTGAAGTTGTCCCCAAGTAATACTCCCACCCAAATCACTTGGGTGTCCTAAGTTCCCTGGAGATCCCAGGAGACCGCCCTCCTAGTTGCTCTACCGAGCAGTGAAACCAAGCCCCGGTCATGCCTACGGGCTCCACTCCTGCCTAGTTTAATGACGTCAGGCACAGGCAAGGAAAAGTATTCCACACCTAGCTTTTTGGTTAGTCTCACGACTGGGGTGTGCACATGTGTTTGTCTTTTCTGAAGGACAGAAAGGCACGAACATGTCACGGTGAGCAGGAAAATAAAACAAAGGCGTTAACTTCATTAGCTCCCCACGACTCCTCTGCTACGCACCAGCAGCAAGCAATGCAGAAAACTGCATTGGTTGATATGGTAACTGAGCTGGAGTTACTGAAGAACTGTGGGTGTCTTCCCAGAAAGGCAGGTGCACACGCCCACAAGGAAGCGACAGGCTCATCCCAGCTCATCATCTACCCTCAGAGCTGGCAAGTGTTCAAAGCGGTACTTGCAGAATACCAAATGAACGAGCCAGGCTGGTGTTCCCTGCCAACGGCTACTGCAGAGAGCTGGCCCCATTGGGGACCCTGAGAGAGCACACTGCGGTTCTCCTTGGCCTCCTTCAGGACGTGCCTCAACACCGGCAGGGAAGATACCCACTACGCATGTCAGAGAACGGGTGCAAACGGCAGGATGGCTAAGTCAGCAGCCTATAGGCACACCACCAGAGCAGAGGGCAAAGGGGAAGAGGGTGGAGGTGGAGCTTTCCCCTGTAGTTTCTCCTCGTTTTGAGTGGAACACCAGGGATTTCCGGTGTGCTCAATCGGGCTGATTGTATGTACAGCAAATCTATGCTGTGTGACGCATATATGCACAAACATAAACATATATGCATGTATTATTCCTGCATGTATAGACACCCTAAATCAGAAAAGCATGTAGACTATTACCTTTTGACTAAAAAGAAAAAAATGTCTATATACCTATCTATGGAATGATATGAGAATATCTATAAAAACAGAAATGTATCTTATAATGATTCAGCCAGGATTTCTACCTTCCACTACTTAAGCAATGAACCAGTTTCTTTAGTAAGGGACTGACTTTTCTTTGGCCATCAAGTGCCAACCAGGCTTCCTAAGCAGGGAGCTCAGGGCTCTGGGACTCCAGCAGAGTGCCAGGCCCTGGTTTCTATACGGAACCAGCATTACTCTCGCAGACAGGGGCTGACCTCTTTGTGGGTAGAGCCTACTGACAAACCTTCTGTGGGTCTTGGGATCTCCTAACCTCATCCTACAGGAATGCAAGCAGAGATGTGAGCATCAGAATGTGCAAACACGTGTCCACAGAATGCTAAGGGGAACACAAAGAGAAACTGAAGGACCAGAGCCTTGAAATGAGCTCAGCCTGGTGGCGGAAAGGAGATTGAAGGGATGCAAAGATTCCACTGATATACACAATGCACACTTGAAGATAAAAAACTGGCTTATGTTTACCCTGGGCCCGGAATCCAGCAATCACTAGGGCACAGCCATGAAGACACTGAAGAGACAAACATGAAAAGTTATGGAGAATAATTTACGTGGTTTTATAGGGGCCATGTTATGCCCAGCTGGGGGAGACATAAGACTCAACTTTGCTTACAGGTCCAAAAAGCTGGCCCCTAAGAGCAGCACACCAGAAGATGGGCCTAAGCAATTCCCTACAAACGGATAGGAACATCTGTGATTACCTCCTCCCTCCTGCAGCATACCACAGCTGCCTTGTGAAGACCACATAGCAGGAGATAAAAGGTCCTGGCCTAGACGCACACTTCTAATCCAAGCACTGTATAATGAAGCAGGAGAGATACAAGTTCGAGGCCAGCCCAAGAAGGACTTCTGAGTGAATAAAGGAAAGATCTGTGTTATCAAAGTTCTAGTGATTTGACTGGTTCGGAGATGGGCCAGTAAGTACCCTAGGACTCTCAGTGAAATCACAGGGAAAGATGGACTCTAAGGTTTCCCCTGATGAGCAAGGGATGGAGTTGCTGAAGGCCCCCCAAGGACAGATTCTAAGAAGGAATCCAACTCAGAGGACAGCAGAGCAGAGATGTGAACTGAGGTACTTCCCACACGAAAGCTGATTCAGATGACCGTTTTATGACGAGACGTCAGGTTCCACCATACGGCCTTTCAGTTTTGAGCCAGGTTTCTCTCTTGAAACCCAAAGCATCCTGGCTATGTTGACATCTTTAGCTGAGCTGGTTATGGTATGTAGTTGGGAAGTTTCCTTTTCCTGCCAACCCTCCCCTAACAGCTGACTGATTTCCAAACATTAAGGCCTCAGAGAAGAAGGGCGGATGGTGCCTACTCATAAATCACTCTTCATAAGGGTTATAAAGCCGGGCGGTGGTGGTGTATTAACCCAGCACTCGGGAGGCAGAGGCAGGCAGATCTCTGCAAGTTTGAGGCCAGCCTGGTCTACAAGAGCTAGTTCCAGGACAGCCAAGACTACATAGAGAGACCCTACCTCAAACAAATGAGAAACAGAGAGAGAGAGAGAGAGAGAGAGAGAGAGAGAGAGAGAATTACGTATAATAATACACATTCACAGAGTCCCTTTACTCACAACAGGCAAGTCTTTGGTGGAGGTATGTCCTCCCAGGCAGGGAGGTAAAAAGATTTACAGGGCAGAAAAATCCTGACTCAGAAGACATGCGCGTGGCTTATGCCTGTAATCTCAGCACTCGGAGGCGGAGGAATGGGGCAGCTGTGACTCTGAGGTCTGCCTGGACGACACCGCCAGTACAGGCCAGACAGGAATTCACTGTCTCCAAAGAAACAGACAGGAACTGACTCAAGAGCCGACTCAGCAGACAAGTGCTGCCGGACTCGCCGTTCCAAGCGCGGCCCTGGGATCAGCACAAGTGTCATCTTGGACTGGGTGGACCCGCCAGTTCTCCAGCCCTACCCCAGTCATTAAAATACGGGTGAGCGGAGTCTAGCGAGCTCAAAGTCTAGGAGCCGGTGTCCTGAAGAAGCAGGTCTCAGGATTAAGAACACTGACGTCTGGACTGACCTGGGAGGTTTTCCAAGCTCGCTTTGTGATACTGATCTACAGCCCGATTGAGAACAGAGTCCCGTGTCTTTTCCCTGAACTGCATCATGGGTAGTGCTACAAGGCACTGGAGCACGCACACCAGTGTTTGCACCAGGTGCACCTTGGCTGCATTTAGGAATTAAAGTGGTTGTTTTCAGCTTATTGAAGCATCAGCTCATGTTTCGGAGAAGCAGATTCCACAATCAATTCTGATGTATTTTGGCCCCACTCCAACTTAGCTCAACAAAGAAAGAGAAGGGAGTTCCTGTTCTCTCATCCAAATAACCCTGGAGCCACACAAATCAGCAGCTTGGGGGTCAAAACAGGCAGGACTGGATACTTTTTTTTCTAAGAAAAACATGCAAAATTTGGGGCATTTTCTTCAACTTCTAGAAAGAGGCTTTTTTGTTTGTTTGTTTGCTTGTTTTTAATATGGCATTTTCTTCTCAAAACCAAACTCCACACACCAGCATTCTGAAACCCAGTGAGAAAAACAAGAGGAAGTAAATGTGCTGTGCCCCGGGCTGGAGGGTGATGTTTGTGTGCAGAATCTTGAGGAGATGAGACTTTACAAATGGAGGTAGACTATGAAAAAGAGCAGGTCCTGTTGGTAACACAACCCTCAAAAACAAAAACAAAAAACAAAAAACAAAAAAGAAAAGGAAAGAAAGAACGAAAGAAAGAAAGAAAGAAAGAAAGAGAAAAAAAGCAAGAAGCTGCCTGCTTCTCATCTCCTGAGGTGGCCTGAAGCGAGCTCTACAGCTGTTAGCAAATGTGAAATGAATCAGGAAACTGGCACAGAGAGGACCTGCGTCCTTCAGTTCTTTAGTGGCCAAGCGTCCACACACCAGCCCTCCGAGCCCCTGAGAAAGCGGCAAGAGAGTGACGCGCAGACCTGTGGGGTTCCCGGGGTTGATAATGCAGAGAACTTTGGGGTCACAGTGGTCCTTGGCTTGCCGCACCGCCCGCCGGAGCTCGTCCACGTTCAAGGCCCAGCAGTTGTCCTCGTCTAGGTAGTAGTTCACCTGGATGGCATCCAGCTCGGAGATGACCGCGGAGTAGAGGGGGTACTGGGGGATGGGGATCATCACGCCTGTCCGGGACTTGCCGCCCCCAGAGACCAGGAGCTTCAGGATCGTCTGCAACAAAAGGTAACATCTACAGGGCCCCTGCTGCTTCTCATCCTTCCAGAGGCAACGAGCAGACAAGCCTGAGGCGGCCCAGCCCCAGCTCTCTCTCCACCAGGGGCCCTGCTGCCTGCTTCCGTTTCCTTAGCTGGAACATGAGAGCTGAAGTAGGCAGTACAAAACACATGTGTTGGGGCTGGAGAGATGGCTCAGAGGTTAAGAGCATTGTCTACTCTTCCAAAGGTCCTGAGTTCAATTCCCAGCAACCACATGGTGGCTCACAACCATCTGTAATGGGGTCTGGTGCCCTCTTCTGGCCTGCAGGCATACACACAGGCAGAATATTGTATACATACTAAATAAATAAATATTAAAAAAAAACACATATGTTAAAGCTCTTGACTTATATATGGCATGAAGTAGAGGACTGACCACTTGACAGGTGTGGAGCAACATATGTTCAATAACAGCAGTGGCTGAGGCATGACCACGAGGCCAGCCTGGGCTACACTGTGAGATCCTGTCTCCAAAAGCCCAACCAACCAACCGTACAATCCCTTTCTAAAAAAACAGTATCCCAGCTGGTCCTGCCCTAGAATTATTCTGACCTCACCCTGATAATCTCATTTAAACTCTACGTTATCAATAACCATCAGTTGCCCACAACAGCTGGACGGACTTCTAAAGAGAAGACTGTTGAAATGGCACCACCAGCGAGCAGGTTCAATTCCTTGCTGCGAGAATCCCACTAGAATGGGAAACGTGACATCTCACTCTCTCTGGGCCTACTTCCTCAGGGGTTCCAGGAGGTAGGAGATCAACTTATCTATTTGAAAGGCTTTGGGAAACAAGCACTCTACATCAAAACAAGAACCTGTGAGCTCAGGAGACAAAGGCCTCCAGTAAGTCAGAAAGGATAGTAACAGCTGCTCACGTACGAAGAATACACTAGCTAATGGCACTTAGCACAGAACCAGAGCCAGAGAGAAACACACCAAAGGTGAATGGAGGGCCAAGGTGTGTGCAGCTAAGTGGCCCAGCACTCGCCTAGTATACCGAGGGCCAGGTTTGACCCTCAGCACTAAAGAGGAAACAAAACACGCTGACAGGGGGCTGGAGAGATGGCTCAGTGGTTAAGAGCATCGCCTGCTCTTCCAAAGGTCCTGAGTTCAATTCCCAGCAACCACATGGTGGCTCACAACCATCTGTAATGAGGTCTGGTGCCCTCTTCTGGCCTGGAGACATACACGCAAACAGAATATTGTATACATGATAAATAAATAAATATTTAAAAAAAAAAAAAAAAAAAAACACGCTGACACACAAAGCCCAGGAGGCCACGAGCCCTTTCCCCAAGCCTAGAATTTCAGACTTCAGCCACGTAACCACGGATTCCAGTCCGCCCACCCTCATGCCATTGTTGACTCTTCAGCCGTGTAACCACCGATTCCAGTCCACATGCCCGTGCCCTCCTGACTGCCTCCCAGTCTGAGCCAGCTCTTCTCTCTTCTCCCACGTGCTTCCTCACTTCCTGCCCACGTTGAACTGAACACTGACTGAGTCGTGGGGCCTCCCTCCCTTTACTGAGGTGGCAATGATTCCCTAGCCTTCTTAGGCTGACCTGAATCCCTAGCACGGTCTCTAGGATCCACAGAACTAGCCTTACTTGCTTCCCTGATCCTGTTTCTGGTCACTATCCTTCACTGTGTGAGCTCACCCACCTTGAGTTCATCTCCACAACACTAAGCCTCTTTCCGGACCAAGTTCTTTTCATACCCCGATCTTCAGCTAAGAAAACTCTCCCTCTCCCACCTTCCCCAGTCCATTCCTGCATCTTTTAGTCTTTTTCAGTGGAGCCTTCTACAGTTCCTGCTGCGGCCATGGCAGCACTTGGTCTAACAGAAACTGAGAACTCATGAGGTGACCTTTACCTATGCGGTGTCAATGCTAGACTGTCATTAACACTGGCGTGTAGTCCAAGGCCAAGTAGTGAACCTAAGGTCTCCCCAGCACCCAGGACAACGCCCAGCAGAAGAGGACAATGGAGGCCAAGGGGCACCCTCACACCCTACAGCTCCCCACCAGTTGGGCCTGCTGGTGGATTGATCCTCTGGAAGAAAACCGAAGCTGTGGTGGTATCCAGGGTCATGAGACTATCAGGGACTAGAAGTTACTGGGACAGGGATACCAGAGGGCGACTCACTCTGCCCACTGAGCCTGTCTCCTGGAAAATTAGTTCAAACCCCCGGCCCTAACTTGTTCATCTCGCGAATGAACACCGGGCTAAGAATGGGCCATCTCTGTACATACAGAAATACCGTCGCTAGCTCCAGTGGTCAGGTAGATGTTGTCCGGGTCGGCAGGCACACCGTCTCTCCTGGTGATAAAGGCTGCCACATCTTCACGGATGCAGTTAACACCCTGGCTGGCGCTGTAGGATCCTGTGAAACAACAAGCGAGATAATTAGAGGTAAGATGTCCAGTGCAACGAAATGAGTGTGGTACCCGTATAATTAGCTGGGGGTAAAGATGGCTGCGGACACCAAAGTAGGGCCTCTTTCCCACGGCTCCGGGCTCCGGAACTACAGCAAGCTGCTTACCTACTCATTTGGGCTCTTCCACCCAGTGTTTACTGAGCATCTATTACGCAGTAAGCCCTGGCTTCTACTATGCCGGCAGTGCCCATACAGACATGCTTTATGACACAGTACCCATTAGATCTGGGGTTTCCATGCTTTAGTTAGATGCTTACTCATGGGTCTACAGAACTTGAGAGAATGGGTTGATACTAGTCCTCCAAAGTAGCTCAGGGCTCTAAGCTCTGGAGACTGACCCTAGAGTATCTAGCCACCACTGGCCCCTCAGCTTAGAAGTCACTTCCCTGAGTGCTCATCCCATGTTCCAGTTTACAAACTGGCACTCACCACCATTGCCAGATTGCCTCGCCACCCTGAATAACCCGGTCCCTTCCACTGGGTCACACCATGCTGCACCCCAAGGTCTTTACCCACACGCTCCCTCTGTCTGCCATGCACCTGCAACCTCTCTTTTGCTCATCTTCTTCTTGAGCTCGCATGCCAACCTGTCCCCTTTTGTTCTTCCTGTTTTTTTGAGGCAGGGTCTCTACACGTAGCCTAAGCTGGCCTGAAAGTCACTATGTAAACCACACTGTCCTCAAACTTACAGAGATCTGCCTGCCTCTGCCTCCCGAGTGTTGAGATTAAAGGTGTGTGCACTATCACATCAAGCTCCAATCTGCCTTCTTAAACTTTCCCTCTACATTAGGACCCCTTGATGTAATCCTGTAGCTTTCTGTCCCTTATCCAATGAGTCATGAAGGCTGGGAATAACACATACATATAAAATTCATAGTAATTATTAAGAATTACATGAATGTGTATGTATCTATGTACGTGAGTACAGGTGCCTGCAGAAGCCATAAGGACACCCCACCTCCTACCCCTGGAGCAAGAGTTAAAGGCAGTTGTGAGCAACCTAACATGGGTGTTGGGAACTGAGCCCTGATCCTCTGCAAAAGCAGTACAGACGGCTAAGCCGTCTCTCCAGCCCCGGACTATTGTTAGTGTTTGCTTCTCTCAAAAGTGGCAGTACACTCCACGAGCACACAAACTATTCACATCAATGGCTGGTGTCCCTCAGTGTGAGGAATAGCAGCTGGGACATGCTATGTGCCCAGAGTCAGGTCAGACAACGCTCACAGCTCCCACTGCCTCTGGATATTTAGATATTAAATATTTATTTAATATTAAAGCCAGGATACAACCTAAGGCCTGAACTGCTTGTCAGATGGACAAGAAAGAAAGCACTAGTAAGAAACACACTTGCATTTTTTTTTAAGGACAGGGTCTTCATGTAGCTCTAGCTGGCCTCCAGTTTATAAGATCTGTCTATCTCACACGCCTTTGATCCCAGCACTTGGGAAGCAGAGGCGGGCAGATCTCCATGAGTTCAAGGCCAGCCTGGTCTACAAGAGCTAGTTCCAGGATGGCTAGGACTGTTACACAGAGAAACCCTGTCTCAAAAACAAAACAAAACAAAAAAACCTGCCTACCTCTGCTTCATGACTACTGGGGTTAAAGGGCATGTCACCACACCCTGCCAAGTAAAACACGATTTTAAGAGTCATGAGAAAAGCATGGCTGAACTCTAAGGCTTCACACATGGGACCTAGAAAGACAGCCCAGCAGGGAAAAAGACTGGCTGTCCTTGCAGAGGACCCAGGTTCAATGCTCAGCACCCACGTGGTGGTTCACTGCTGCCTGGAACTGCGGTTCCAGGGGAGTCAACCCCCTCTTCTGGCCCACGGGCAATGCACACACCTGGGGCACATACAGAGAAGCAGGCATAAACATATGCATACATTAAAACAGATAAAAATGGACTGGGGAGATGGTTTGGTGGCTGAGGACACTGACTGCTCTTCCAGGGGACCTGGATTCAACTCTCCATATCCACAGTGGCTCACAACCATCTCGAATTTCAAGTTCCAGGAGATCCAATGCCCTCTCCTCTCCTCCAGACACAAGGCTTGCAAGTGGTGCACAGACATACATGCAGACAAAAATGCCCACAGACATAAAATAAAAATGTTTAAAATTAAAACCCTTCATATGTATAGTCAGCAATTGGTACTCTGGTCAGCATGTTCCTAGAAAACACGGACACATTCTACTTCCTTTTAATTCTATGGCGGGAAAACAGTTTGGGCTGCCGAAGGCTCTGCTCTCACTGGCCGCTCAATATCACCGTTAGAATGAGGACACTAACTCCTCCTTGCAGCGGGCAGAGCCTGGCTGTGTCTCGACATCTACCAGGAGGCTCTAGCCAACACATCAGCCTTTCTCACAAGTCCAGGAGGAGAAGACAATATAGTTCCTAGTCTAAAGATGAAAAGGAAAGGCTCAGAATGTGTTTCCCTCATCTGTATTCACGAGCTCCTGAGACAGAGCCCAGTGTAAGCCACAAAGCCCTTATGGTCTACTGGTTTCCTCATCTAACACTCCAAGGCAGCCCTTCCACAGACACAGCCTCTTACTACCCCCTCGCTTAGCTGACAAAGAGGAACAAAAGTCAACAAATGAGGGTTAGTGGGTGGAACCAAGGTCCACTCCCTATCCCCTCACATTAGACATGCACAAAGCAAACTCCCCTCCTCTTCGCCTGCCTCTCCCGCGGAACTTCTGGAGACCTCAGGGCCACAGGGTTTTGAGAAATACTTTTGTCCTCCGTGCTGGGAGGAGGGTAAAGGAAAAGCAATTCCTCTGCACCAGAAGATTTAGCCCCCAGGCTGGCAGGCAGGCAGGAAAGCAGGGGCACTGGCCTCTTCCTAAGACAGATACCACAGCACCCATACCAAGGGTGTTGACAGGGTCACCATGGCCAGCAGGTACGCACAGAGCCCACAGGAGACAAAGCACAAAAAGAGAGAGGGGAGCAGAGAGGGAGGCAGGAACCAAGGGGCAGTTTAGCTGTTCTCTGACCTGATTGAGCAATTTAGAAAAATATCTGTTTCACTCTTGGCTCTAGGTCTCAGAACATTAGGGTGCACATTCTAAGAAAGCTTTAAGAACAACCGTTTTGCTGAGAGGTGGTGGCGCACGCCTTTAATCCCAGCACTCAGGAGGTGGAGGCAGGTGGATTTCTGTGAGTTTGAGGCCAGCCTGGTCTACAAGAGCTAGTTCCAGGACAGGCTCCAAAGCTACAGTGAAACCTTGTCTCAAAAAAAAAAAAAAAAAAAAATTAGACAACAAAAAAAGAACAACCATTTTTTTTTTTTGACTGAGCTATGCTGTGCAGACACTGGGGGAAAGGGGAAATAAACAGGAAAGAAAATGAGATGGGAACAAAGAGCCAGAGCCAAGAGTTGGATTCTAAGCAGGGTAGGGAGGGAGAACATCACTGTTGCATCCACAGAGGTCAAATTCAGGACCTCCTTGTTGGGAGCCAGAGGGCACCTGCCTCTACCAGGAGGCAGACTGCTGGCCCTGGACCGGGCCTGGGCTCTCCACAAAGAGGAACAGGGGTAGGATGCAAGGGTTACAACAGAGTGGAAGGGGGAACAGGGACAATTCAACTGAGGAAAGCCAAACAAAGCGGGGCAGAGGGGACACGGATGCTCCCTGTCCCCGGCAAATAGCAGCCGTTCTTCAGACAGTGCCACAGACACAAGAAGCTTCAGCTAAGCTGGGAACTATCCTTTGACTTGGCCTCCAGCTGGCCACCGAACAAACCCAAATCAGAGACTAGAATATCTGCCCTTGGGTATCCGACCCCCCCACAGGACAGCAGGGAAAGCACTGACTTAGTAAACTGGGGGACAAAGAGCACACATATGTGCATCTGTGCACCCTCGACCCATCAGCCACTGTCCACACTTTTAGCGCAGCTACCCCATAGCTCTTTGCGTGCTAATGGGTCCAGACCTATCCTGGAACCCACATTCATTTCACATCCTTGAGGACTTTGCAAGTTGGGCCTCACCCAAGCTGTTTCCACCACAAGCCTGCAGGATCCGCCGGGCTCGCTTCTTAGCATCTTCTGGGAAGCTGGGGCTGCTTAGCAGGTTTGGGTAGGTGCAGAGTGCCATCACCTAAAGAAAGAGGGTACAGCTGAGCTTTTAAGGTGGTACCCCCAAGACCACAGGAAACTAGGCAAGGAACAGTGAGAAGATGCCAAATCCGAACACCACGTCATAGCACGTCTCTCCCCATGAGGGCTGAGGCTGTGGGAGCTCAGGGTAGCATAGAGGGAGACGCTGGCTCTCTGCAGCAGGAGAGATTCTGACAGCCAAGAGGCACGACTTCCAAGGCTTGGTGCAAGAATGAGGTACCAAAGGGGGTGCCATGGCGGAGTGTGAGGGTGCTACACAGCCCCGGCCTCCACCCATCCATGAAGAACACTGGACCCAAACACCCAGGATCTTAAGAACTAGAGGGTCTTCCGGATAAGGGGCCAGGCCTCAGTGGGCAGCAGAATCTGGCTGACAGGAAGAAGGCTGTGAGGTCCTGCAGACACACAGCCTGAAATCCTTCTCAGCCTGTTTTCTGCGAGACTAAACTTCAGACCCGAAAGCCGGAAAGGCTCCTCTTCCCTGTAACAAAATCACCTAAACACACAGACTGAGAACACAGACTGAGAAGATTAACCAAGCCCGTGTGTGACGGGGTGCCAGCAAAACTCGCACACCTGTCTAAAGCTGGCGGCTGAGGAACCACGCCAGGCTCACTGCGGGGAGGGGAGAACAGGTCATGGTGCGGATACCAGTGGCATGACTACCTCCCTGCTTGTTTCTTCTTCCTCTGGATAAAGAGCAACAACCTAGCCTGCCCCTCCCCCAGGGGCATTATGAAGAGCACAGGAGACAGATGAAGGTTACAGGTAGCTGACACCGTCTGAGACAAGTTAGGACAGCTGGGGTCCAGGGCTGGGTTGGCTTGGGGGATGAGTTTGACAGCTTGTGAAGGTAAGCACTGTTGGGAACCAACTCACGACCCGAGACCAGGTCCACATCTGGAACCTCTACTAACAATCAAGGACCTCGGCCTTCCACCTGCCTCTGCTTCTCTGACGGAGCTACTGTTTGGCCCTCTATCTCTGCATCCGGGGCCCTAATCCACTCCTCTCCACAGTCCTCTGCAGGTCAGCAGTAATGGCTTCAGGACCTCGCTCAGGCAGGACCAGCTGTATGCTCTCCTCTGTCACACAGGGGCTGGGGCCCCAAAGGACAAGGTGAGGGGACCCCCGTAGTTTGCCACTTCTGAAGGTGGTGACACAGGGAGAGAAAATGGAATAAGGCTACCATTTTGAAAGTTCATTACCTGCCCTGCATGTGAACCATAACCACACACGGTACACCAGAACAGGCCCAGTCCTGCTCCAGGAAGAGGCTTTCCATAGCTAGGTCTCCTACCCCTGATCAGGCTGCCCGGGGGCCTTTTCCCACCATGCTTTCCCTCCTTCTGGCTGCTGATCCTTCATTGTCAGCTCACGCAACGTTTTGTCATTGATGTTCAGACATAAACACCGAACCCCCCCACCACTTGGAGCCCTTACGAGGGGGGGGGTTATGTTGGAGGCAACCAAGAGCAGAGGCAGTCGCTGCTATAACCTGAGCTTTTGCTGGGCTGGAGGGAGACCTCCATCTGCCACTCAAGGGAGCTCCATTGGGCAAATGCACAATGCCAGCCAGCACTCCAGCACAGGGGCTCCCTTTGGGCTGTGTTTTCACCCTGGCGTTCTTCCTCCGGGCCCTCTGCCCCACATACACACACGAACACCCTCATGGAAGCTCGGTCGGGATCCCAGATCTATCATGGAAGAAGAGCCTTCCTGGAAGTTTCCTACCCCAGACCACCACAGATGGGTTAAGGCATTTTTGATACCCTTAGAAGGGGATTACTGAGAGAGAGAGAAAAACAGGGGACATCAGGTACCCGAAAGGGCTGCTACTTTGGTGGTACATCCCTCAGGGATTCTAGTGCATGATGTACCGGCCCCTCCCAGGTTCCAGGAGGGAGGGCTCACCTGACGGAGGAAGGTGATTGGCTGCTGGCCCATAGCATGGGCATCCCCAATGTTGGCTCGGATAACCTCAGTGAATGGCTTTTTGATACCCTGCAGAGAGAAGGTGGCAGGTGGTTATTTAAGGACTCAGATTCTACATTCCTGAGGCCATGCTGTAGAATTACCACAAGATATTAATAAGCAATCCTATTTTGAGCCTCACCAAATGTCAGGCAGCGCTAACTAAGCCTGGTCCCATTTAATCTTCACAGCCATTTCCATGAGGAAGAACTAGGAGCAACCCCATTTCACAAATGAGGAAACTGAGGTTTCAAAAGACTAACGAACTCGCTTGGTGTCACGCAACTGATAAACACAAGCATTAGAGTTTGAACTCTGGAAGGCAGGCCCCAGTGTGCTCTGCTCTATCACCCCCCACTTTCTGGACAAACCAGAGGAGCTGTTAGGTAGCTGAGGCATCGTGACACAGATAGATCCACAGCCTGTCACTTCACCGGGATGTCTAAAAGGCACAGGGACCAAAGTAGAGGAAGAGCAGAGGCCAGCAGCAAAATATGCCCAGAGTCAGGGAGGGAGAGCCAGATGTCCCTACTCCTGTGCCCAAACAGAGTTTCACTTTGAAACCGCAAAGGGCTAGAGACACGGAGTTCATGGCCCCCTCCAGAAGACATCCATCCATCCATGGGAATTAGGACCTGGCCTTGTTCTCTCTCAAGCCTGGTTTTGCAGAATGGCTAGTTTTCTTTTCTTTCTTTTTAGCAGGAAGGATAAGAGACAATGAAGTGAGCACTAAATAGGGATCACAGAGGGACTAACTCAGAGGGATTTGAGCCAGGCGGTGGTGGCACAAGCCTTTAATGCCAGCACGCTGGAGGCAGAGGCAGGTGGATCTCTAAGGGTTCGAGGCCAGTTCGGTCTACAAAGAGAGTTCCAGGACAGCCAAAGCTTGAAAGAGAGATGGAGGTCCCTGGGGAGTGGAGGAGACACTTCAGCTGCCACGGAGACGTGGAAGAAAGGGAGTCGACACAACCCCCTGATAAACCCAGCATCAGCTGCTGGAGGAATAAACTAGCAAGTTCAAAGACCTCCCTGGGTGATGGGAGGATAATCAGGAACAAACCCCGCCTCACACACACAGCTAGTCCAGGAAGGAGGCCCTAGTGCCACTGTGGAGGAAGGAGGGACGAGGGTGGGAAGACCTGGCAGCCCCCACCCCATCTCCAGCTGTGCTTTCCCAAATATAATATTAAAGATACAGTTATGCGGTTTTGACACTAGTGACATTTGTTCTCCTGAGTGTGTGCACATGTGTACAAGTGTATGCATGTCCCTGCACATGTGTGTGCCACACTCAGGTGTGTGCTTGAGCATGGGCAAACACGCAGAGGCCAGAGGAGGACACTGACTAGTCTCCGCAGCTCTCCCTTGGTGCTCTGATACAGGATGTCTTACTGCCCGTGGAGCTCGCTGGGTTTTGGCCAGGCCGCCGGCCAGTCAGCCCTGACGCTCCTGTTCCCACCAGCACTGAGGCTTCAGGGTCGGGGGGACCAGGTCTGGGCACTGGGGATTTGAACTCAGGCTCACACCTACATGATGAGCACTCTTATGGAGCCATCTCTTTGGCCCTTCCCCACCAAGTTTTTTTTTTTTTCTTCTGAGCCTCACGAGGCAGAGTAGGCTGAGAAAAGAATCCGAGAAAGGGCCTCAGAGTGTCACAAACAGAGCCCAAGTCTCTGAAAGGTGTGTCTGGGAGACGGGGACCCTGCAAGTGCCTCTTGCCCCATCTTTAGTTAGAGATGGCCAATATGGAGCTTTTTTCTGGGCAGTCACACATCTCTAGACCAAGGCACTTGCTGCACCAGGCTGGGTAAGGAGCGAGAGCAGGAGATGGGCACGTAGCTGCAAGGCTCACCCCACAGGTAGAGGCCAAGCAGGACAGTGGGGGCTATGAGGTAGCTGCCTAAGTCATAGCATACAGAAGACAGGCCCACACACCCTAGCGCTGGCCTGGGTTCCTCGGCTGAGAAGCCCTCCATCACTCTTTAAACCATTGTAGCTCTCAAGCCCACAGCTACTGAACAGAGGTGACTCTCTGGTATGGCCAGAGCCTATTCTTCAGTAAGAAATAAATCTGTCACGGCCGAGAAGGCCAAGACTCAACATACAGTTCTAGGCCTGGGCCATGGGCCAGCCCAATACAGAAGAAAATAATGCCTGGAATCCAGCCCTGGATGTCCCTTTCCTGTGCCCGCCCCCTCGCACTATTTAGCCAGTTCAGAGCTTGCTGACACAAAGCCTGGGAACACTGAGCACCCCCTTTCTTGGGTCACTGTGCCTACAGACCATGGACACTTTGCATGATGGATGGATGAGTTTGGGCCAAGATGTGGCTCCCTTGAATAGACAAGCAGACTGTTCTACATAGCTGAGCAACCACTCAGAAGGGTGTCCTGGGCAGACAAGATCTGCATGAGCTGGGAACACTAAGGTACCCCAGAAAGATTCTGGCCCAAAGTACGTATCCAGGCCTGGTATGTGCACCAGTGGTGCCACCGCCCCCAGTTCTGCACCTTGGCAGAGGGGCTAACAAGCATGCAGCGTTTGGTTGTCTCTCCCAGCATTCCAGAGTTCCTCTGTCTGATACACTTGGACACATCTAAGCCACAACTGCATCCCACGCGGCACCGAGAGAGGGTCCCGGGGGGGGGGGGGGGGCGGTGCTCCTTTCCTGCCACTTGGACTTATGTAGGGTCAACAGTAGTGAAACATTTCTTCAGAGGAAAAAGAAAAAGATTTATCATTGTCCTTCCAGCCCACAGTTCAGCACCACTAAAGGTCACCAGACTAGTGGACAAGTCGCGCGGGGACAAGGCAAAATAAAAGAAGTAACAAAAAGGGAAGGCTGAGGAAATGGCTCAGGCGCCATGACCTGAGTTTAAGTCCTAGAACTGCATATAAAAACAAAACCAAAAACCTCAAGTGCAATGATGTATGGTTTGCACTCTCAGTGCTGGGAAGGGAAACCAAGTGAATTCCCAGGGTTCACCAGCCTAGATGAATCAATGAGTTCCAGGCAAATGGGAGCCCTCGTCTCAAAATTTAAGGTGTACAGCATCCAAAGAATGACACCACTGTTGTTCTGTGGCTTCTACATATACCCTACACATGTTTACACCTATATATGTATATATATACACACACACACACACGAGAAAAATGCTATTTTAAAAAAAGAGCTAGTCCAGTGTGGTGGCACATGCCTTTAATCCCAGGGCTTGGGAGGCACTGGCAGGTATTCTCAGGAGCTAGAAGAGGACAATCAAGATCCCTTGAAGCTCAAGCCGCAGGTGGTGTGAGCTTCCCAATAGGGGTTCTGGGAATCAAATCGGGATCCTCTGTGAGAGGAGCAAGTGCTCTTAACCATGGAGCCGTCTCTCCAGCCTCCATGCTGAACATCTTAATCACGTACACTTTGCATCTGCCAGTTACACACCCCCAACAGAGCTGGGGAGGAGAGGAGGCAGAGACGAGAGCAAGTTAATTTCCTTGTTCAAAGGACGGCCCAGTCACTTCAGGAGACCTGTGTTCAAGAAGCCCACAGAGTTTCCCCTTCGTTCAACAAACATTCCCAATGCAGCAAATAAGAGACTGAGAGCGAGAGATGGTAGGCGGGGCCCAATGAGAAAAACCAAAGCAAATGTTGGAAGTAAAGACTAAGAAGGGGTAGGTGCTGCAGAGATGGCTCAGCGGGTAAGTGTGTGCTATCCCGCTCTAGCAGAGGACCCGAGTTCGGTTCCCAGCTCTCGGGAGCAGCTCACAACTGCCTGGGACTCCAGCTCTCTGCCTCTGGCCTCAGTAGGCACCTCTACGCACATACACATGAACACACACACAAATCTTTACCACAAGTGGGTCCAGGAAAGGAGTGGGGTACACGGTGGGAGAGGGGCCTTCCCAGACCCCAGAAACCTCGTACGAAAGGCCCCTTGCTCCCAGATTCAAAGGGACAATTAACCAGACTAGAGTAGGCAGAAGTCCTGAAAGACGCTCTGGAGACAAAACCGCACCGGGTCCCACGGACCCTGAAAACAGGTACATCTCAAGCAAGCCTCTGACCTCCACAGACAACCAGAGAAGTCAAGATTTACAAGGAGCAGGGTGGGAAAGATGGCTCATCGGAAAAAAGCACTTGCTGCTCTTATCAAAGACCCGGGTTTGGTTCCCAGCACCCACACAGCAGGTCACAGCTATCTCTAACTCCAGTTCTGGGGAACCTGACACCGTCTTCTGGCCTCACATATAGTATATACATACAAACAAAACACACACACATAAAATAACAAACATTTAAAAGTAAATAAATCTAAAAAATAAATTGGAAGGAAAGCTGAAGGATTTCCGTTCAGGTTCATTATTACAGTGAAGTGGCAGCTGACCCAGGAAGCCCCACACTGAGAGATTCAGAGGTAGCAAGCAATCTCCACTTCTTTTTTTTTTAATATTTATTTATTTATGATATACACAACATATTGAGGGCACCAGATCTCATTACAGATGGTTGTGAGCCACCATGTGGTTGCTGGGAATTGAACTCAGGACCTCTGGAAGAGTAGCCAGTGCTCTTATCCTCTGAGCCATCTTGCCAGCCCTGCAATCTCCACTTCTTACACTCAAGCAATGCATAGTAGTTTGGGAAAAAGCCGGGTGGTGGTGGGACACACCTTTAATCCCAGGGACTCAGGAAGCAGAGGCAGGTGGGTCTCTGAATTTGAGGCCAGCCCAGTCTACAGAATGAGTTCCAGGACAGCCAAAGCTACACAGAGAAACTCTGTCTTGAAAAACAAAAACAAAACAAAACAAAGTTTCAGAACAAAGAAGGGTCTTGCTGTGCTGACCGTGATTGGTTCGGAGCTCCTGGACTCAAGGATCTTCCTGCCTCTGCTGCCCGAGCAGTTGGAACTGCAGGCCCAGCCACTGTGACCCAAGAACAAAGACTCTAACGATTTTAATTGGCTTCTGTTTAAAGGATTGTCACTAACACTGCAAACCAGTTTGTGAAGAAGAGAGTGCAGGCCAATACAGTCTGGATG